TTTCTGATCCTTTCGTGTGTAACAGCTTCCAAAAGACTTAGACGGGAAACATCCATCAAAGTACAACAACTCAATGACGGACTAAAAAAGTAGCAGTGTGTGTGTGTTTTCAAGAGAGCCAAAAGGAATGAGAAATGATGTTGAGGGGAAGCGAAAGCTGTGTTTTGGTCCTTGAGGAAGTGTGTGTATGTGAGAAAAGAGAGCTGCCGAGTGGAAAAACACACAGACGAACTTGAGAAAGTGTTGAAATGTTTTATGTCTTGAAGCATGGGAGGTTTAAACCTCTAGAGGTGAGGGCCAGAGCTGGAGGTTGGAGACTAAACATTGCAGAGCACCGCTGGGACAGTATGATAACAAACTAATTAAAAGTGTGAGGCCGGCGCTGATAATCAATACTGTTGGTCTAAGGAGGGTAGGGAGGGAAATCTGGTGTCAGATTGTGGGGCGTGTGGGACGGATTGTCAGACAGGGCCAGACATGATGGTAGAGTTCGAGGTGAGGGGGACTTGTTTCACTCTGGAAGGATAAAGTTTCTCTGCACAGCTGCTTTGGGAGGAAAACATCTGTATTAGCCTTAGCACCATGAGCCCACTGTGGAGAGGAATGCAAGGAGGAATGAAGAGATAGATGAGGGGAGAGGGTATAAGAGATATGAGTATGTTTTAAGAAAACTAAAGAGCGATACTGGAGCCTAGATAATACATATGTGGACCTCTGGGCTTCTCTTCTATCAGCTGTAAAACTAGCTCTGCGTGCCTCAAGCCTGACTGTAGACACAACTGCAGCGGTGAGCAGTGACACAATAATGTCCAAAAGCCAAACTGTCTTATAAATCCAAACTAATTGACCAGTTAGACATTTCTTCCCCTCTCTGCTCTCCATTACCTTCATATTAACACGGTCTATAAAGCAGAGAGAGCTGGCAGACAACTGTGTGGCGGGCAGCTCCTGTGGGAGCACGGGGAGGGCTGTGAGTGGTGGGGGGCCAGGTGGTGCTCTGTCAGGTCACCACAGTAACACAAAGGATAATTACCTGCTAGCGCACTGACTCACCATGCCAATTTTGCCAATCCCTCCTCTGATCACAGCCTCAACTCACCACTTCGATATGACTCAATAAAAACTGCTCACCGTTTGGCTTTGAGTTGGGTCAGACTATTCAAATGTTGTATTTTGTAAAAAAAAGAAAAAATGAGAGCGAGGAAAGGATTTTTGTTTGTTTACTGCATTTCAACTGTGTTTAGTGAAATGCTTCACATCTGGTGCGGATTAACAGCAGCAGAGCTCTGAGCTATTAAAGAAGCACTCGTAGCGCTTTTGTTTTAAAGGCTTGGTATATTTGTGCACTTTTTAAATGCTTTTACTTTACAACAGTGTCCGCTCCACGTGTGCAGACAGAGAGGCGGACTTACAACATCAGTGTTGCACAGGCACGGACCTGTGAACCAGGGTTTGGAAAAAGTCAAACGTTTAGGAACGTCTACAAAGAACAACATGTGAGCTAAAAAGTCAAATTATATTTTGATACTGATATATATATGGCACATGTATGCACAATCACATGTAAATAATCTTAAACTTAATGCTAAAATGAGTAATGTCAAACACCTGACCAGCCAGAGGAAAAAAAAAGGCTAGAAAAAGTCATTTAACATCTTTTGAGTATTTCAAGGAGGAGTCTGGTGCTATTCTTTCACTTCAAATGTATGTTTACCTCTTCTCCTCACATTCACCTAAGGCTATGTTATTCCGAGCAGACTTGAATGAGAAAAAGGAAATAAGGAAACCGTGACTAACACACCTCATGATAACATTTTACAGTAAGAGACTTTAAACTCAAACAAACACAGGGGATGGTGTTGCTGCTGTATCAGTCATCCAGGGTGAAAAATAGCAGACGTCAAAGTCACAGTCACTTCCTGTTGGTCTGCAAGGTGTAGACTGGCATTTAACACTGGGCATTATGAATGTTTGGGTTTGTGCATTGAGTGTCATCAAACCTGTGTGACTGTCTGACATGAACTGAATGAAATCTAAGCTGAGGAAAGGGATTAAGAAGTGACTGAAAGTCCTGGAAGCTGTGGTTAGCTGGAGGGGAAATGCTTTAATTTGCGGTGGCTAAGAGCTATTGCTGCTAGAGACCGCTGGGACAACATTAAATAATTATTACAACAGTCTGTGCATGAGTTTACTTTGCATGTGGATGCAGATGGACAACCAGATAGAGTTTTTCTATCAATGTTGGCAGGTAATACACAAAAAAAAACAGGTTTTTTTTTTTTGCCACCTTCAAAACAGGGAATGTGAGTGTTGTTGAGTTCACTTGCTGGCGTGTTATCATGGCACGTCCGGCACACACCCAGTGCCTGGGTGACGTGTGTTACGTGTACATTCTGAATGTATGCTGTAAGCCATTTACACAGCTGGGCTTTTAAAGTGACTCAATGAGAGGACGTCCCTGACCTGGGGTCTGTCCCAAAGCCGACACCCGCCCGTGCTGGCTGGCTGACTGCACTCGAGCCTGCTACACTCACACCGGCTGACAAAAAAAAGAGAGTGTGAGCTCCCCTGAGTGGCAATCAGGAAGGAAACTGAGGAAGAGCTGGTCAAATGTTGTCTACTGTGCATTTATTCACAGTTTTGTGGTGTAAATAATAGAATCGGATATGTTCTTGTCATGCCGTTAAGCTTTAAACTCATACCGGGAAAACAGGCCTCTCAGGAAGCAGCGACCAGTCGACAGAGTCTGACTAATGTACCTTGGCACGGTAGTTCTGGAGACATGCAGAGTTTTGACAGGGACCGTTTTGAAATAAAAGCCACACTCATTCTGCTTGCAGACAACCTAAATAGGAAAACAAACCCACAATGAGCAAAATATGGAAAGGAAGGAATTTGAAGAGGAAATGGTCGATCCATTTGTTAGCCATCACTTAGTTCTCTGTTTCTCTGTCACTCTGTCTCACGTGAAGGCTAAGGAAGCAGCACATTATCTTCTGTTTTGAATTGCGCTGCCTGGACACATGTTCAATGGTTTAACATGAGACTGAGGGAGAAACCTACATGCAACATGTGGCAGATAGAAGACAAATGCAAATGTTGTTCTATTATAAAACTGAAAGACAAACATGGAAACTCTGAACATGAGCCATGCGAGGAAGACTCAACCTGGTTAGATGCCATCAGTAATTTTATTATCCACACGGCTGCAGGAAAGCAGTGTGACTTTCTTTTCCATGATCCGCCTAATGCATTAAAAAACAAAGTTCTCTTACTTAGGCGGCTGTGGCTCAGTTGGTAGAGCTGTCACCTCTCAACCAGAAAATCAAGGGTTCAATCCCCAGCTGAGCAACATGTCCAATGTGTCCTTGGGCAAGGCACATGGCAGTGTATGAATGGATTAGTGTTGTACTTACTCTCCAATGTATGTTGCTTTGGATAAAAGTGTCTGCTAAGTAAATTGTAGCTAATGTGACCCATCTTTGTTTAGATGCTGTCCCTTCTTTAGAAATCATCCTTGCAAAAATGGAGAGAGTCCCTATAAGCTGTCATCTTTCTTTCCCCCTTTACAGTTCATTGCTTTCTTGTCAACCTACTTCATGCAGCCTTGGCCCTTGACTTCACGAGGCCCTCGACTTTGCAAGTCTCTGCGGTCAAATCCATCTGTGTCACACAGCCTGTCAGAAATAGTCACAATGCAGCAGCTTCCACAGTAATTACACAGTGCAGTGGAGGAGCCAGTGTCACCTCCCTCTCTCCTGCCAAGTCGTTCCGACAATGATCTTTCCAGGATTCAATGTAAACGTCCAACTTCTTGCAGAAATTCTCCAAATGATGTGGTGTCTTGCAAACACTATACAACTACGATGCCAAATGATGTCAAAGGTTGATAAACCCAAATCGCACCACGTGAATATAAGCAGGGAAGTTGCTGTGACTGCATAACTTATTAAACAAATGGAATTATAATGATGGTTTTATAGGCTATACTCACCGCCTGCAAGTGTTATGATTATTTGCACAACAACCTCTTAATGTCCCTGATGGCAATAAAATATTCCAGGACTGTTTGAATTCAGAAAACAGTCAGATAAGATTAAGCACAGCAGTCCAGAAACAACATTCAACAAGCACAGTAAAACTTTTCTATTGGAGGTAAGTAAAACCAAAAGCATACTGAATCACGATCAGCTGAAACTAACTAGGTTTGGGTCATCATCGACTGGGCTGAGTGTCTACAGGGATGTCTCCAGATTAGAGTGAAGGGAGGACCCAGTGTACTTTGAACCCAGTCTGCTGTTGACTTACTCATTCTTTAGATAACACATGGTTGACATATTATCTGCTGGCTGCCTTCATCATCCACAGCGCAGCACCTGAACATTAGCTGGTTGCACAGCTGTTTAACAGAGGGGGACACAGGAATGTGACACTCATAGCGAGAACTGGACAACTGCACCGTTTTTTTTATGTAAACACGGGCTCAAAACAAACAGATACACATGCTAAAGTCCTTATGATAAAACATCACCACAACAGACCTATCACTTTCAAATAAAAATAAAAAAACAGCAGTTAGTTGCATCAAATGTGGAGCAACGTTTTTAAGAAACTTATCAAATCTCTAACAAAGCAATGTTAGTGAATAACAACATATACAGTGTAAGAGTGTGCAAAGGATCACTTGTGAGTAAAGCTCCAGAAACTTATAAACAATAATGTCTGAAAACAATGAGTCATTTAAAGAAAAAAAACTTTTTCAAGGGATCTCCAGTGTCTCTGTGACAACATTATCACTTTATATTAAGGTAAGCTAATTTCCCCACTACAAAGCAGATTAATAAAAGTTTGCCTCACTGAAATGTGACTGACTTAAAGTGCATGCTACACTTCAATTTTGACAGTAAATCTCTATGGGCTTTGCTGTGAAGAGTATCTTGTAAACCAGTGTTTTCAATCCTTTTTCAGTGTCACCAGCGGTGAGACAAGAGGCAGCTTACCTAAATTGACAAAGCTCATGACCATGTCTGCATCGTTCAAGAAGTTGTTGTCTTGCAGGCTGGCTATTGGAGGCCCCTGGGTGGTAAAGATGGGCTTGTACGGATAGGAGTATCTGTCCTCGTCTCCCTCGGTGGACATGGCGTTGTACAAGTCCAACATAAACATCGGCGCAGCGTTGTGCTTGCCGTGGAGGTGAGGTCGCGGCCGGTGCGGCAGCCCCAGGATCGACAGGATCTCTCGCTGCATCTCTCTGCGCTCCTGGCTCTTCAGACGACGGTGGATGAAGCTCGAGTGGAACTCGTTGTCCAAAGTAAAGTTCGTAAAAGCAGTATCAGCTAGAACACAGTAGCTCCAAACCAAGAGCAAAGCTGGAGTCCGTCTATCCAACATTGGTGCCATGATGCTCGCCGTGCGTAATTGCGCCCAGAAGATCTGATCGACGAAACTCTTGTGAAGGGATATTGCACTTTTTAGCAACAGGAAGCCTTGTTTCGTTAACCAAAGTCAAATGCGGACCCTCATTTTGAGGGAAGTGCTCCTAACCGAAACATCAACTTCCCTCAGAGTCCTTAAAATGATGTGGAGTTTTTGTTCTGGGAAGGTTGTGTTCGCGCGGACCTCCGTCCTCATCCACAACCTGTAGCCAACAATTACAAGTGTAATGCAGCTTGTGTGGAGGCTGCGAGCAGAGCGGGAGGGACTCGAACAAGTTGTGAGGAGGCGCTGTATGCTGGGAGGAGCAGGAGGGAGGGAGGCGAAAGAGAGAGAGAGAGAGAGAGAGAGAGAGAGAGAGAGAGAGAGAGAGAGAGAGAGAGAGAGAGAGTATGTTGTGGTTGTTTTAATGTAGATAGGGCAAATTTGGCTTTTGTTAGCAGCTGGAGAAGGGCGAGTTTTGTGCTTGATGCTTCTTTAACTTTATAATAAAGTACATTTCGTCATTGCTTTGCTGTGTGCTTTTGGGGACTCAACTGTCAAAAACAAGTACAGATGGTGGCAATAGGCCTTCCAGCGTTCTCATGAAAATAACATACTTAATATCAGATTAAGTATTTGCTTGTGCGAGTGAACGCTTCAAGACTGTAGGAGAAGTTGAAACATGCAGTTGCAATGTTCTTATAATTGCCACTGCTCTGCAGGTGCACCCTCCCAATACTTTCTGCACATGGTTTTCAGACTTTAAAGTCAGTTGTCTTTTGATGTGGAGGAGGCAGCTTTACAGCCGCGCAACGGCCATTTCATGCTGCATTTTTTTGCAGATTTCCAAGCATTTTTATCCCCAAGGCTGGAGCAGGAAGTTTGTGACAAAGGCAGCAGTGCACACAGACAGAGCGCAGACTGCGAAGGAGGGGTGCAGATGTTTGGCAGCTGCTTCATCCCCCCATCTGCCCCCCTGGCCCCAGCACCTCTTAAACACCACACTTTAATGGAACGCCCGTAACCCTCTGGTGCGCTTGCTCTCATTGACGCGGGCAGACGGAGGGACCAGAAAAAAGCCACTTTATCTCCACAGTCCTCCTAAAAGCAGAGAGAGGAGTTTTTAAAGGCTCTGCAGTGGAGATGTTTTAGGGCTGCAGCTTGCCAGGTGATTTCTATGACAATAAAATTAGACTTCAATGGCACAGCAAGACAGGCTGCCAGACGGCTTAAGCAATGATTGCAAACAGAAGACGGGAGGAAAGGAGGAGGCAGAGCATGTCTCAGGGTCTTCTACACTTAGCTCACCTTCCTGCCAATTTAATGTGGTTGTTCTTGTCTTCAAAGGCGCTCCACTCCTCTTTTTCCAATGACAATTCAACATGTCTTGAAGCCTGAGAGCTTACATAGCCCTGCCACTACTCATTCTGTATATCTAATCCTGTATTTGCTTTTATCTGGCCCTTCAGTAGTAGCCTGTACCATATAAACATTTCTATCCGGGGCCTCAGATAGAATCAGCTAATGGCCGCAGGTGTTTACATTACAGCAGTTTCCGACAGGGGACTTGAAAGGGTCTTGGTCCCAGCAGGAACTATACATCTTCCTCTCTTTATGTCCCTCACTTTCTACTCTCTCTCTCTCTCTCTCTCTCTCTCTCTCATTGACTTAGATTGGTTCTCTTGCTCTCTCACTCCTGCTGTAAAGGTTGGCAAGGTCAAACCCCCCCTGTTGCTCCCGCATCCACCCCCCGGCCCTTGGCTCGGTTTGTGTCCAGAGAGGGGCTGACAATCCTGGGCAGGACAATAGGAACAGACCCCCCTTTGTTTGGGCCTCCATGGGCCTGATGACAGTCTCGGTAAACAGCGGGCACAGGCTGAGGCCCGGCTGGGTGAGCTGCACTGAGGGGCCTTTGACGAGGACAACTAAAGCAGAAAGCAGAACAAATAAGAGTTTCAACTTTCCGACACACAGAAAAGAAACTGCTGAAAGAATCAACACATCATTTCTCTAAAATATTTCACACTTAACTCAATTATTTTTTTCCCACAGGGATATTAAGCCACTTACAAATTTAGTGATGCACACTGTCAAGACAAATACTTAAAAACATTGAAAAGAATGAACTACAATCAGAAGATCATTACACATACCAGTCAGGTTCAACTTATTTTATTTGTTTTTTTATTTCTAAGACCTTTTGTGTGTTAAATTTTACATAGCTCATTTTCAGCTTGCTTGCATTGACAATTTCAGTGTGCACACACACATGGACAAGCACTCCACTCAATACGCACATACACACCTCCCCACATTGTCATCTTGGAGCATGACGCTAAGCTCCTAAGAAGACCACACAGCAGTGCGGTGAACCTTTCTGGAAATTCTTTTACACCCACATGAGACACACACAAAGAAAATAAATCTCTGCACAAAATATTTCTCTCTTTCTTTTCATTTTTATCTTTAGTAAGAGTCTGTGGTTTTTCAGGCGGCCTGCTTATCTCTGTTAAGGAGCTCAAAGTGTGAGGTCAGAGGTCAGATTAATATTTATTTCATGTGTTGCCTTAGAGAGCAGCAGGGAGCGAGCCTTTCAAGGCCTGTGCATGCAGGAAAGCGGATGAGGACGGTTAGAGGGGGGTCTGCCCGAGCCGACAGTAAGACTATACAGTAAAACTTTATTCAGGGTAAGCTGACCCTCAAATGAAGCAGTGTGGGGTCAGGGTGGAGGAACAGGAGAGGGTGGAGGCACACTTTTTCCTCTCCTACCCTCTTCATCTGCCTGTCCTGTCCGCCCATGTCTACGTTTTTGGCGTAACCCCACTGTGTGCACTGCACAAACCGACGGCCTGTTAACACAGCCTAACCAGGTGGAGCTGAGCTATTGCAAATGTTCCCTTTCTGGTGTCTCACACTTCCAGGGGCCTCATGAACATATGAGACACAGCTGTGAGACAGACAGAAGAAAGAGAGGGGGCGGGTATGTGAAACAGCTTCAACATAGTTCACTTTGTACATCCGACTTTGGTTTTCAGTTTGATGGCATTAAAAAATATATATCTGGATCCAGTTCTGAATTATTATAATAAAGTGCTTTCATACAGAAGACAAGAACAGCTTTAACAGCATACACATTTTACTGTGTAGCTAAACATATTAAGTTTATTGAATACATTATCTTCAGTCAGGTCCTGCTTGTGTTTTTATCACAACTTTACCAAAAGCACAAGCAACAAGCCCTTTTTCACGCAGCATCACAAGAAAACTGGAAACAAAGAAAAGTAAGTGGTACAAGCTCAAAGCAACTCGATCCAATACTCAGCTGTATCCAGAGAAGGGGCATCTAGTTTTGATTCCTACTGAGCACTCTTCAATCTGCACATTTTTAGCACTACTAAAGTTGCTGTTGACAAGAAGCCATCTTTGCACTCTGACATAGCATGCCTGATCTCTTTGAAACACAACATAATTAGAGTGGAAAACCTTTTCTCCATGTAAAAATGGGTTGATTATCTTGTTACCCTGAGATGCAGATTGTCGTCTGAATAATCATTGACAGATCGAGGCCACAACAGAAAAAAATAACTAGAACAGCAGATTTCTGCTTAAATAAAAAAGGGACAACTTTTTCTGTAATTGCTACAAAAAATGTCAAGAATTGTATTTAGAATTTGCTGGTGAAGGACAAGATCTAAAGTTTTGGATGCCTCTGTGGTTTCCATAAGGACCTCCATGTAGTTTCGTCCAATGACATTTCAAAATTTGGTTGTCTACAGGAAAAGAGTTGCAGGTGTTGAGAGCAAAACAAGGGAGAATGCATGGGCAGAAATGCAACCCAGTAACCTTTTAGCTATTGTCTGACCATGATTTAGCGTTTTTTAATTATTTGTTAACAAACATTAAGTAAGTCGGGGGAAAAATCCAGTCTCAGACATTACCTTCAACTCTTCTCTCGCTTCTCCGGTTGCTAGTCAGATTGCACGATTAGTTGCAGTTACATCTCCAAATAATATGCAGATGTTCTGCTAAAGAATGCGTGGTTATCTTGTGTGAAATGCTGCACCTTGCAGTCCTCCCAGCCATCACTCATTGCCTATTTTCACATTTATCTGCTAGGTCATGTCACTAATGAGTCTGTCTGCAGCCAGCTTTGCCACTCGGAACACCAGAGAAGCTCCGATCTGATTTATAGCTCTCAGCAGTCCAGACAGACCCATCAGTTATAGCTGTTGTCATTGAGTCAGAGATACCGTTCTAGTTAAGCTTTCTGTAATGCCTGGCTTAGTGAGACTTATCCATTGCAGGATGTTATTACTCAAGAACTCTGTCACTTGTGTCATCAGCAGAGTCCTTGCTCGACACTAAGCTGGTACCTTCACCCCGCCACATACTTATCAGCATCCATTACTGGGGTGTGAGGGCCTGATAAAGGTCTATCCAGTTCCGTGCAGCTCTAGACGGAGGTCCAATTTAGATTGTTGTCTGTGTAGTGAGAGGCCTCGGCCCTTTGACTCTTGCTCTCATCACTCTGTGAAGCTGTGCTGGCCTGTCAATCACAGAGGACCCTGGGTGATCAGTCAGCTCCTCTTTAGGGGATGCTGGTCTGAGAAGCCATTAGAGAGCCAGACTGGCCCCGGCCACAAAAAGCTGATGAGAAACAGAGAAGAAGGAGAGCCTGAGGTAGAAAGTTAATGGGGGGCAGGAGGGGATGTGTTGAACTATGTGGATTGTGAAGGGAGGGCAGCTCTGTTTTCTATTTGTGAGGATTAGGTTGACAGATCTGTATTTAGTTTCTTTGGGCCTCTAGCTGCAGCTAATCCCCCTCACCTGCAGCGAGTGCCCTTGCTTTCTTTCCTTTGACCCTGCAGCCCCCTACTTCCCCAGTGTACCCCCCCCCCCCCCCCCTCCTGCCCAGCACAAACACTCATCCCGAGACAAGCACATGACTCGTTGCACTCTGTCTCCTCAGGTTAGGGCCTCACACTCGACACAAATCTCTCCTGGGCCAAAGGAACAGCAGGGGTCTCAGCTTTTCTGGAACAGAGGAAAAAAAGGGCCCCCACAACCTGCCGTCTTCCACATGTTCAGATTTTTTCAGCCTTGGTGAAGGGTTGTCCCTCATCACTTGGAGATAGCAATTACTCAGAAATTAAGAACCATTACTACGGAAGCAGCTTGTCAAAGCCACTCAGGGGAAAAGTGGGACCTTCGGTAAAGCTGCACATTAGGAAATATTCAGGGTCAGGTCAGGGTCTCAGACCTTTTCTCTTTAGATCCTGCTCCCACACACTCTGACCAGGCCTTCACACTGTGAAAGGAAGACCGTACTGCCTCCACAAACACACACAGCATGCCTGCCAGCAGTTCTTCTTGAAGGTGGGGACTCTGGATGACCTAATAGTTTTAGAATTTAAGCAAAGTCCTCTGTTTTAACAACAAACTGCAAGATGATGCAACAACAAAACAAAACCATTATCATTACCTTCACGTGATGGCTGACAGACATAATAAAGATATGGTGTCTCTGAGGCTCTAACCACAGCTTATTACCCCCCCCCCCCACCACCACCCTACTGATATCATCCACACAAACACACAAAACAGTATGCACACCTTAGGACAAGTAGCAGCAAGAAAGGGTCTCATTAAGTATCACAGAGGTTGCTAATGTGTGTTTTTTTTTAAACCATCGGCATATTAGGCCTCCTCTCTTTACACCAACAAGGTGCAAACTGGACCACACACATTCCTGGGTCTTATTTATGGGCCAAACTTGGAAATAGGCACTGACCTTAAAAGTGAAGATGGAGACTTCTTGCATTCATTTGGTCGGTCAACATGACGCCGTTGGCTCCGAGGAAGCAATTTTAAAGTACACAAGAGTAAATACGCTTTAAAATATCTTCAGCGCGAATGGTAAATCATTCTGTAAAGATCTGTAAAGTGTGAATCATAACATATCTACTTGAAATAAGTTACTTGGCTTCCTGTTGAGTTGCATTTGACGTCTTAATTCAAAATAGGCATATAACCAAAACGCGGTGAGTCATTAATTAGTAAATAAAAAAAAAGTAATTAAATGTAGTTGCGTTAATCGCCAATCTCGCGCGATTTCCTCAAAATCAATACGCGGGAACAGCGGAGTGTAATTTCTCAGCAGGCTGTCGGTTGTTTACACGATGGGATCCCGAGTGGCAGAGCTGTTTTCCGAAGTTGACAAGCTCCGAGCCGAACTGTTGGACAACGTCGAATTGACGAGAGACTGTCGACGTGTTGAAGAAGAAATAAAGCAGTAAGTTCATTATCACCTGCTGAGAGCTAAGTGGAGTTAAACAAGGTTAGCTTTCGCTCAAGATAGCGATGACTGCTCCAACCAGGATTTAGTTCATCGGGGTACTTTGCGATCATTTGAACTTTTCAAGCAGCTTTGCCAATTAAAAATGTAGCTGGTAACTCCCCAGTTATAGTGTCTGACACTATTACTACTACTATTAGAGCCCCCCCCCCCATAGTATGTATTAAGTATGGAAATAAAGAGGGGTCTTCAAATAATAAATAATAATAATAATACATTTAATTTGTAACGCACTTTGCATTTTTGCAAAAAAATCTCAAAGTGCTACAGGAAGAAAAAAAATAGAAATAAAAACTAATTTAATCAGCTAAGCAACTAACGAAACTAAAAGCACAAGCAGAAGGCTTTGTTAAAAAGTTGGGTTTTTAGGGCCCTTTTAAAAGCATCAGCAGACTGTGGAGCCCTCAACTTCATTTGTTGAACCCACCACAGGTAGTAGATGAGTTACTGGATGATATATATGCACACACATATTTGTCTAAAATATGTCACAGATGTATTGTGTATTTGTATTTATTTGCAGTGCACACAAATGTCCCAGAAAACGATGGTGAATGAGAATATTTCTCTTAATTTTGTTATTCTAACCGTATATTCTTATCCAGCAGGGACATTTTGACACGCATTGAAAATGTAGTTCTTGGAATAGTGACAAGTCTGTCCAAAGATGAGGCCCCTGTCCTGGCTCTGCCAAACAGATCCAGCTGGGCCAATGTCAGGTAACTTGGCTTTAAAACACGCTCTAACATGAAAGTTGCTTCTTTTGTACCCTGAAGACTGCAGTGGTTTCAAACACTGATTGCGTGTGTGTGTGTGTGTGTGTGTGTGTGTGTGTGTGTGTGTGTCCTTTACCTTTTTGGTGGTAGGTGAGGCCACACAATGATCAGCTTGCTGTTTAATTTTACATTTTAAAGAGGACATTTACGCTTCAACTTAAATATGTGAAGGTGGTGGTTTAAAGCAGGCTGCAGCCAGCGACCAGGTGGTAGGAAAAGTAATTATACTTCCAGATTTTGGGTCTGTGGGATTGAAGATGAAAAAGCTTCCTCCTGCTTAAAGATGACAGAGTGATAAGGAATTGAAAAGGCCTGGCCTGCAAACACACACACACATGCACAGTTCCATAAACAAAAATGTCCAAAAGTCTTTAATGTGACTAGGCTGCAGAGACCAAATGCTCAGAACAAAGTCAACTGTCTGGTCTTGTTTGGATCAAACCTTGCCGCAGCTTAAAGTGCATTCTAGCTCAGCTCCTTTCAAATGTGAAAATCCTGCAGATTTGAGCAGCACAGAGGAATCAGGGTGGCAAGGTATGAGGGAGGTCTTCTCACAGGTAGCCCTGGGGCTGTGGGGAATTTTAAATGGCTTAAAGGTGGGGGAGCAGATTTCAAAGCTTAAAAAAGTAATTGCAGCACACTCACTCACTGTGGAGATTTCTTTGATAATTTGATCATCTCATCTTTTCTTCCTTCTATTTGACTTCTGTTTGAATTTCTTTTCATTGCTTCCCATTTAAGTTTCGACAGTGCCGTCGGGCTTCAGATGTGTTCAGAAAGCTCCGTCACCACCATTAGGAGCGACTGTGCTTCGTCTGTCACTAAATTTGGTAAGGAGACACACGCGCACGCACACACACACGCACACACACAAAAATCGGTTCTTATTTCCTCTGTTTTGCTTTATATGCGACTTTAATCTTCTTGACAATTGCCATTACTTTTTCTTTCCTTTTTTCCAAAACCTTCACAGATGTTGTGCCCTTCATGTGGCCTTCATTTACATTGTGAACATATGCATACACTGCACAAACAGTAAAAGTCAGACTTAGTTTGAGGTGACAAATAGGCACAGACTGAATATGCAGAAAGTGGCTTTAAGGGATACGTTGGATATTGTATACCCTAATTAAGAACAGAGTATGTTTTTCCACTGCTGGTCTTTTAAACTATTGCTATTTCACTGATGATAATACGTCAGAGTTTAAAGTTTAGGATTTCATTATTATTATTGAATCTTTTTCTCTGTTTAAAGCACAAATTCTGAAGATTCTGATGGTCATCTACAAACTTGTGCAGAGCAACTCCTATTCTACAAAAAGGTTATTTGTATTTTATTCACCTGTTCATTGATCAGTGGAGCAGATTAATCTCGCACTCTGTATCCTGCTGTCATTATTCTGTTGAAGCAGATTTCTTTTACTTGGCTTTTGCAAAAAACAATTTTAATGTAAGGATTTACATTTCATTCCCCTAGAGACATCTATTACAACGACACACAGCTGTTTGGTTCACAGAAGACTGTAGACAGTATAGTGGATGATATTTCCTGCACGCTAAAGGTCCCTCGCAGAGCTCTACATGTGGTAAGTGGACTTCTTTCTGATGCAAAGTGGTCAAGTGGTGTGAAAGGGACAACAAACAGACCTCAGAGATGAAAGCATTGAGCCAAAAATGTTTTTGGGGTTTTTTTTGTGCCTATTTTTGTAACAAGTTCCAGTCCCTCAGATGACATATGTCACTCTGTTATAGTCATTTCTTTCAAATATTTTAGGAAGCGCCTGTGGAAAAAATGTGGTTACACTTAAGAAACAGAAATTGAATTAAAGTGGAATTCACAAAGGCAGAAGCATACATGAGCATACATTAAGACCACTTGTGTGTGTGTCTTTTGTTTATGTTGAAAGTTGGCGACGTCCAAAGGATTGATCTCAGGCGATCTGTGTTATTTGGAGGAGGATGGTACAAGGATCGACTGCCGCTCTAGCTCCGCCGTAAGTCTCATTGAAAACACACGTCAGCATGCTCGCTGGTTCATAATGTGTGCCTCATGTTACTCCACTCAGAAACATTACATCAACGATGACTTCAGGGCCTGCTGTGGCGTTTTATCGTTAAAAAGAATATAGAATTTTATTATGTTTCTAACCAAATACTGCTTGCATCCATGTTTATTACACCTAGCTGAAAAAACATGTTTTTGAACCTGCTGTATTACCTTTTATGGCAAATTACTTGCATCAGGTTCTATCTGTCTGCAATTGTCAGAAATTGTGTATGGTGTTACTCTATAGCTCGTATCATCCATGTGTTGGTAGAAATATGGGATTTATGGGGTGTTCACAGCTCAACGGGGTGACCAGTGATAGCACTACAAGACTTATAACAGAAGGAAATGCCAACATCTTTAATGAGTTTTAAGCCTTTTTTTTATTCTAGGCTGTTGCTGTTTCGTCTAATATTGGTGGAATAAGAAGTATCCTTTGTGATTTGTTTGCCTATTGAATGTAGATGCACATGCCTTTTCCTCTTTAGTCACTCACTGTCGTGTATAGTATGTATATCTGTGTGTGTGTGTACGTGTAGAATCTGTATTCCTTGATCATGTCCAGATATTGTGTCATCTGCAAAGTTTGTCTTGATCGTGGAAAAGGACGCCACGTTTCAGAGACTACTGGACAATGACTTCTGCACAAAGCTCTCCCCCTGCATCATCATCACAGTGTGTTTTCAGTTTTTTTTGCTCTCACTTCTTGAATGGAATTGAAACTTGTGTTGTGCATGTTCAAGTCGACCTGTGTTTGTTGTTGGGGTTTTGTATGAAACCCAGACGTGTTTGTGTGGCTCAGGGTAAAGGTGTGCCAGATGTGAACAGCAGGTTGATGGTGAGAAAGCTGTGGGACACGCTGCTCGTCCCCATCTTCGCTCTGGTGGATGCTGACCCTCATGGTACATCTGCCTTCAACTGCAAACCAGTGTTACCTACCGCACGTGCTCTGCATATTTCCAAACTATTTAACAACACTTGACTCACTTTTCATCTCCGTACACACACACACACACACACACACACACACACACACACACACACACACACACACACACACACACAGTAGATTTGCAAGTCTTTCTAAACCAGCAGATGTTAGCACCTGTCTGCTACGTCATGCTGCATAGTTTGGCTGTTATTTCCGTTTGTGTGATCTTGTCCAGGAAGGATGGCTCAGTTTCCTTCATTCACCGTACCTCTAACCTTTTTTCCCATTGCATGGCGAGACACATATGTAATGCTTTACTTTGTTCTGAGCTCCGCTACACATCTCTGCAGGATAATTGCTCTGGTATGTCAGTGATTGCGGTGTGTCTCTGTCTCTCCTGATTTTCCCAGGGATTGAGATCATGTGCATCTACAAGTACGGATCAGTGGTGAGTCTCGCCAGTACTGTACATTATCCAGTGTGGCCTGTTCAGTGTCTATGTTAGCAAGATTTAATTATACCCTCTTTGAGTAGAAAAAAAGGACCAATCATCCATTTCAGAATATTGACACTGACATGGGATGGAGTGAGAATGTGAAATGATTGTGTGTGTGTTCATTAGCCTCATTGTGAACATGTGTTAGGCAGAACCACATTGCCTAGGTACAGTTGTGATTATGGTGTGTTTATTGAAGATATACTCTGTGTATAAACATATTGTGTGTCTGACTGGGCGTGTGTTTGTGTATGTTTTTGTATTTTTCTCCACAGTCCTTGTCGTTTGAGGCCCACAGCCTGACCGTCCCCAGTGTTATGTGGCTAGGCCTCCTCCCCTCTGACCTACAGAGGTTTGGACTCAACATTCGCTACTTCCGACTTCCTCCTCCTGCCTCTAATTGGGTTTATATTCTGGGGACATGGAGATTGTTTGTTTTGGTTTCTGTTGCTGTCGCTCTTGCCTTTTTTTCTCCTTCAATGAACTGCTCCTGAGAGTATATTGAGTTTTAAGTATATGTCCCCTTGAACAAATTTAGAGGTTTGACATACATTTAATTGTAGAGTGCAGTTTGTCCTCTTATGTCGCACCCCCCTAAACGTACATACACTCTGACATGTGAGTTACTCGAGAAGTGAGGGAATCACAGGGACCATATCTATCTACAAATCTGCTTGCTGTTTGCTGCCATTTGGGGGAAATTAATGAATTCATGTGTAGTAAAATCAACATTTGATTCCTCAGGCTGCGGGTTCCAGAGGATGCTCTGATCCCCCTCACAAAGAGAGATGAAAACAAACTCAGCAGCCTCCTCAGAAGGCCGTACTTAACCAGCCAACCAGCCTGGCAGAAAGAGGTAAGAGAATAGAAAAGAGGGAAAACTGGTACTGTAGGTTGGAGGAGTTGGGTTGCAATAAAGGAAGTATTTGAGTTTGAACTGTTATCATGTCAATTTGAACACTAAATAAGTCATATTAGTTGAGCATGTCATACACCCCTTTCCAACCACACTCAGCCCCTGTGAGCCTGCTTTGGAAAATGTTGCTTTGAATATCCTGCTCCTTTTTCTATCTCAAGGTTTACACAGTTTTAACATTTTGCTCATGTGACAAACCACCTAGGAATGTGTGTGTGTTTGCGAGGTCTCCTTGTTTGCTGGTTTTAAGTATACAGAACAGCCGCTCTGTTTTGGAGTGTCTGCTAAATAAACACCTGATGATTAATGCCTGTTTGAAAAGCATCTCTACAAATTTTTAGGATTGCTGGTTTGCTCTTGTTGTAGATGGAAATGATGCAGCAGAGTAAGGTCAAGGCTGAAATACAGTCCCTGGCCTCTATTGTGCCCGATTTCCTCACCAGCATCTACCTGCCAAATAAGCTGCGCTACGGCGGCTGGGTATGAGCACAATGCTGCCACGTAGTGGAATATTAGCAGAACTACTATGGCTGGTTGCAAAACTGAAGAAAGCTGTGTATGCAATTGTCCTGTCTGACCTTGTCTGACTGATTGAAATGTGAAATTGGTTTGGTTTTCAATGTTTTCATATTTGTGAGTGTTTGTGTGTTGTGGTTGCTAATTGGGTTTCAAACATGCCTCAACTTATAATTAAAACAATTCTTTTCCAGTGATCAGCCAGAACACTTTAAAAAAAAATGTATCAAAGATGTTTGGACCTGCGGTTGCAAAGTGTTGGAACACACTATCAGTTTCATTTATGGATTTAATTATTTTAATATTGTTTCAGCAATGTCTGGCATGATTTACAACAACTGAATGCATTTGATTAAGCTCTTTTACATATTCAAAGCCAGCAGATGTGGATGATGATTAAAAGGTTTAGGCTTGTATTGGTGAGATGTTTCATTCATTAATGCTTATAAAAGTTAACAAAGGCACACCCTCATGTGCTTTATTCAATCTGTTCTCCAGCAGGTGGAGCCAGTGTTCATTAAATGCAAACAAAAAAACTACAAGGACCCACAATGTTATACTTCTAATGAAGCCTAGTTATCATCACAGGAATGCTGCTGGGAAACTATTTTAGTGATAAATTATAAAATCGTACAGTGCTTTTCTAGTCTTCTAACATAAACATTATGGTTATCTTTATCATTAAAGCACTTTTAATATGAGATCAAATGTTATGTAGGCTATACATTGATGTAGTCTGATGGAAAGACCTGGTGTCAACTAGTCAGGTGTTATTTATGTATTCTTCTCTTTTGAGAAGTTTTTATAACTTTATCTACGTAAATGACTTAAGCCATAACTTGAAATGCTCTTTTGGGTCTCATGTGGGTCTGGAACCCTAATAAACATCTAAAGGCAGAGATGTCACATTAATACCTCGTAAAAAAAGATAGGTCTTCACTCACGTTTGTCCATACTACATCCATCCCATAAGTTAAGCAAAAAAAAACGGAAATAAATGTTTTTGTTATTTTACAATGACGACAAAAGGAACGTGTGGAACAGTTTTGAGCTAAGTAAACAGAAGTGGAGTGGTTCTTGCGTGGAATAAACGATCTTCGACGGGGTTACGTGAACGTTGTCGGTGGGCGTGTCTCCATGCTTGCGCAACATGCCTCTTACTACGTCACCTCGCTGTTGTATCTTCGGCTGAAGTTTTCGTAACGTGCAATGAAAGCTGTCTTCAGATAACTGGAGGAGCGCGAGACTGAGCGCCGTTTCATTTCGAAAAATAAACCAGGTGAGTTAAAAATGTTTTAATTGCAAATCTGTATGAGGGAATATAGTAGGGAGAGTTTAAGCGTATTGCTGTCCAGCTGTCAAATGAGTATGCTATATTGGTCTGACTTAGTTAAAACCATTATTTTCTTTAGTTAAAGTACAATTTTATGTAAATGTAAGTTTTCTTATCTTCTGAAGTTTAAATATATATATATATATATATTATATAGATGTATGGGCTTCCAACCAGTTTTCGGCTGTCTGACTTTGTGTTATGAAAAAGAAAATGCATGGTAAATAAAAGCTATGTGAAGTCAGTATGAAATGAATTGTGTAGGAAAAAAAACTGGCAATTCCAAAAAGGAGATTCACTGCATAGGAACATGTTTGGCTTTGAAGATTTTATACCCTACAAAGGAGACTAGGCCCCTTTTTTTGTCTGGTTTACGACATGTTTTGTCTGAACTAAAACCAGAAGGCTCTTTTTCTCCACTGTCTTAGGTAAGATCATGTACTACATCATGTAACAGGACAGGTCCTTGAAAAGCCTTCCCTTCTATACTTGTCAAGGACAGCTGACTTCAGAGCAGGGTGGATGAAGGTAGTCTCTTGGGCTTTAGCCATAACATCCTTTGTGGTCTCAGCGGTTATACATCAGTGTAGCAGGGATGTTTCGCAAGGCTTTTTTTGTTTTTAACATCAAGGTGGACTGGGACTTTGTCAGGTGAAAGACAGTGATAGGCGTGTCAAATGGGCACATGGGACATTATGTGACCTCTTTGGATATGGATTTGCAATGGGTGTCTGTCTATCCTGCTTTATCTTAAAAAAAAAAAACTCACAGGAAAGCAGTCTTCACATATTTTGTTCTTCCTTCTCCTATTTTTTCAGGTCAAGACTGCCTAATATGGACACAGTTATTCGTCGGTGCCCTTTCCTCACTGTTGTGCCCAGTGTTTGCCTACAGATGGCTGGGAAGTCATCCCTGGTGAGCTATGCCCAAAAGTGCCCTGTGATGATGGATCTGGCCTCCAGACCTCTGGCCAGAGCTCTGTCCTCTTCAGCTTCTGCATCCAAAGGCACTCCAACAAAGAATGGTCAGTTGATTATATTGCATCCACTTACACATGATTGATTTACTGAAAAAATACAAAAAATACAACACAATGTGATTTACTTGTATGCGGTATTTAAGTTGTAAATTTGCAATTCAGATCTGAAGCATGAAGTCAAGTTGCCAGGCAATGTAAGGCAACCCGCTGGCCGGCCTGTGGGCTCAAAATGCCCTTTCCTGGCTGCAGAAATGGTGCAAAACAACAACAGGGTAGTGCGAGAGATCAGCCTGGAGCTACAGGAGGATGTACATGAGGTGCACTCTATACGCACAGGTAACATTTGCACAGACACACCTGTGATTTGATATTTATGGAAACTGTAAAAGGATGTTATTGGCATACAGACTAGTGAATTTTAAAGTATATATCATTTGAATATTTGTTGTTGATGTATAGATCTATAACAGTGGGGATCTCTTTTGAACAGGGAAAACAGGTGTGGATATTTCTGTTGTTGATCTTATCAAGGCAGACAAAGTCAGCATAAGAGCACCAAAAAACCTTATCAAACCCTTATCTTCACAAGTGTCTCACCTGCTAAAAGATCATCTGCCAGAGGGTAAGACACATTTCTTCTTCATTCATTTTTATTCTCATATCATATTATTCTCAAATCAAAACCTATATGCTCCTTAAACCTTCCATTTTCCTCCAACAGAGGTTACCTTCCAGTATGACAAGTATTTTGAAAAGACGATTGAGACCAAAAAATCCGATCACACATACAGGGTTTTTAAAACTGTGAACCGGCGTGCCCTCTCGTTCCCAATGGCAGACAGCTACTCCAATTCTCTTCATGATAAGAGAGACGTGTCTGTCTGGTGCAGCAACGACTACCTCGGCATGAGCCGCCACCCCAAAGTCACCCAGGCAATCATGTAAGTGTGCTCACTGAGGAGTTATCAGCCATTATAAGGGCCATTAATCAGAAATCATAACAGTATGCTGATGATAAAGGAAACGAGGATATGGATTGGACTTTTTACTAAATGTACTCTTTTTTTTTTTTTTCCACACCAAGGGACACTTTACAAATGCACGGTGCTGGTGCGGGAGGAACACGAAACATTTCAGGGACGAGCAAATTCCACGTTGAACTTGAACATGAGCTGGCTGACCTTCACAGAAAAGATGCTGCACTGCTGTTCACGTCTTGCTTCGTAGCCAATGACTCCACTTTGTTTACTTTGGCAAAAATGCTACCAGGTAAGTTCAATATAGCTACGACATATATGTCACACAACCTACACATTCTAGATACAACATTTGTGATGTTGCACATTTTCTTCTTTCAGACTCAAATCCATAGTCGAGAATTGTAAAGTAAAACTTCCCTCCGTTTTCCTCCATTAGGTTGTGAAATCTACTCTGACGCAGGCAACCATGCCTCAATGATTCAGGGTATACGGAACAGTGGGGTCAAGAAGTTTATCTTCCGTCACAATGACGTCAAGCACCTCCGAGAACTTCTTGGAAAGTCCGACCCCTCCACTCCAAAGATTGTTGCTTTTGAGACAGTGCACTCTATGGATGGTAAGTACACATTCCTTGATATATAACAGGGCATTTTAAAGAAGGGAGAACCAGTATTGAACCAGTATAAATGTTTCATTTCAGTTATTATGAAATGAAACATAATACGTTGTATTTACATTTGTGTTATTTGAAATGCCAAAATAATTTGAATAATTGTATTTAAATTTTCTCAAAATAAACAATTAAACCATTTTCTGTTTTTCATTGCATTTCATTAGATACTAAATAGGTAAAAGAATGATTATGATATTATTGTGAAATCATCTGAAGAAATCCACGCTCTCTTCAGGCGCTGTGTGTCCACTAGAAGAGATGTGTGATATTGCCCATGAGTTTGGTGCCATTACCTTTGTGGATGAGGTCCATGCTGTGGGCTTGTACGGGCCCAGAGGAGGAGGGATTGGGGACAGGGACAGAGTCATGCACAAGATGGACATCATCTCTGGTACCCTCGGTACGTAGAACCCTTCCAAACGAGGGAAAACCCTCTTTCTACAATCTCACAACTTCAATACATGCCTCTCTGACTTGTGATGGTTTTTAAATTTTTATTCCAGGCAAGGCATTTGGCTGTGTTGGAGGCTATATCGCCAGCACCAGTGCCCTGGTGGACACTGTGCGCTCCTACGCTGCAGGCTTCATCTTCACCACCTCCCTGCCCCCCATGCTTCTGGCAGGGGCCAGGGAGTCAATCAAAGTCCTGAAGTGTGAGGAAGGCCAGGTGCTCAGGAGGAAACATCAGAGGAGTGTTAAGCTGCTCAGACAGATGCTGATGGACTCTGGACTTCCTGTTGTCCAATGCCCAAGCCACATCATTCCAGTGCAGGTAAAAAATAAAAAGTTAAGAATGTATCCAATTACCTGGTGCAGGGTTCCACTAATAGAAATGTCCCTAACCAAATGATGTAATTTTATTTTCACCTCTACGCTTAAGTACATCAGTGTTATAGCATATTTAGTCTCAGAAACTTTGAAACTTGAATTAAAGTATTGATGTATCTGTTTGGCAGGTGTCAGATGCAGAGAAGAACACTGAGATCTGCGACATCATGATGTCTCGTTACAACATCTACGTCCAGGCAATCAACTATCCCACTGTGGCCAAAGGAGAGGAGCTACTGCGCATTGCCCCCACTCCACACCACACCCCTCAAATGATGTACTACTTTGTCGGTATGCCCGTTTGTAGCATTGTTTTATAAGCTGAAAATGTGTCTTCACTAAAGAACCCTAGCCCCTTTGTTAGCAGACTTTGAGATGTTTGATACAACGTGTAATATACTGTTTTTTATTTTGAGGGAGAAATATCGTTTCATCTCTACACTTTAGATCGTTTTTGGACATTGATTTAGGTTTATCTGATATCCAAAATGTATGTCAAAGGTGGTGGTTATCTTCAGCTGTTTGTTTTTGCTTCTGTCTCCATAGATCGACTGGTGAAGACTTGGAAAGAAGTGGGTTTGGAACTGAGGTCTCACTCCTCAGCCGAGTGTGACTTCTGCC